ACCCACAGGTGAGGGCTGGGTGAATGCGCTGGGGAAACAGGGCAGAGTCCAAGGGCCTCGCAGCCGTGCCCTGCGCAGCCCAGCCAGGCTCTTCCCCATCGGAGGCATTTCGGGAGCCATCGGGAGCCCCGCTGCTCTCTGTGGCACTGGAGAAGGGCCCCGTCCCACTTTGCTGTCCTTGCAGGTTTTGCAGCTAAAGGTGCTACTTTTGTGTAATTTGCAAAAAAATGTATTGAGTTCCTCATGCCGAGTATCTGCCCAGCCTGGGCTTAAACTTGTTGCCTGGAAGAGTTTGCGCCCCAGAAGGTAATGGAAGAAAAGGCTGAAAAATGGCTTTAATGTTTAATCACATAACATCCAACAAATGCCTGCGTGGCACAGATTAGCTGTCCTTAAATTTGCTGAAAGAAATGTGCTGCCTGCAGGGTCCCGTCTGCCTCGAAATCCTCAACTACGGCAGAGTCCATAAGCCACAGTGAGAGCATTTCAGTTTTCTGTAAAGAATTAGATGCCAAAATCAACATGACCCTAAATGCTGTGAGAAACGATTAGCCAGGACCATCTGCAAATGAGTCCAGAGAAACCAGCTGCACCTTTCCCAGCACGGGCTGAGGTACCTCCCGCTGCTGCCGGTCCCGCTCCTGTGCAAGGCAGCGAGGCATTCACCATCGGCAGGAGATCGTCACGACTTGGTGGTGTTCTCTGCCACCTTTGCCAGGACTTGAAGACCTTTTGTCAGAGTGCTGCTAATACATAACGCCCCGGGACGGCATTCAGGTCTGGTATAAATGGATGTACCTCTGCTATGCAGTGACGTGCTATTGGCACTTTGCTGATGGTGCTTGTACAACTCTGCCCATGCCCGGTTAAGGGGTTTAGAGAGAGTTATGTGATATCTGGGGATTTCTAGAGAACCTGGGCTGCGGAGTGTGTTACTTGAGGTTAGCTATGTTTTATGGAGTGTAAGGGAGATATGAATGTAAGAAAAATGGGTTAGGAGGTTACTGGTGGACAGACGGGAGGCCAGGCAAGAGGAGTTGTGACAAAATATTAGGATCTGCTGTTCTGGGGCATGGTGCTACCCGCTGTCTCATGGCTGGCACACTGATGCGGCACTAGTGTCTCTGCAGCTTGAGGACCGGCTGCCTGTGTAAGTCTGTGCACTTTATGTCCAGCATCTAAGAATAACATCAGCAGGATCTAGTTCCATGACAGGCATCTGATCCCCCATCTCCCAGGACCTCCGTAAGAAGAGAAAAGAAAAAGAAAGTGATCCAGACTGTTCCTGCCAGCCCAAGCACGGATTTTCCATGGCTGCCTCCCTACGTTATGTGCATGTCCTCGCAGATGGTCTCTATCATGGAGGACTTGTGGGTGCTCTCTGCTTCTGGGCTTTCCTCAGAGGCCTTCAGCTGCCTCCTGAACCGAGAAAAGACCATCCTCAGGGAGGAATATAGCTCCTCGCTCCGCAGGGCATAAATAATGGGATTCACCATGGAATTGAGCAGGCAGAGGGTGCTGCAGAAGGCAAACACCTTGCGCAGGTGATTGCTCAGCCTGGCAAAGATGCTGTAGATCATGAGAACGAGGACTGGAGACCAGCACAGCGTGAGAACAGCCAGCACCATGACGAGGGTCTTGGCCAGCATGACATCCACCCTCATCCTGGTGTTTTGTTTTCCCACCTGTGCTTGATGCTTCTCCATGTAGGCCACGTGCTGGTGAGCCCTCCATAGCACGTGCGCATAGGCGTAGATGATACACCCCAGCAGGACCATGATGAAGCAGATCCAGCTGGACAGATAGTTGTCATCCACAAACGGGAACAGCTCGGAGCACGTTGAATTGAGTGTGCAGCAGTTCCAGCCCAGGAGGGGCAGAGAAGCGGTGGTTGCACATGTCACCCAGAGCACCCCCAGGGCTATCCATGCTCTCTTCCTCGTTATGAGGAGCTTGTATTCGGATGGTCGGCTGATGGAGATATAACGGTCCAGGGCTGTCAGCAGCAAGCTGCTCAGGGAGGCAGAGAAGGAGGTGTTCACCCCTCCCAGCTGCAGCAGGAACATTTCTTTAGAGAAATCAGTTTCATTAAAGACATGGAAGTTAACAAAACTGCAGACAAAGATGATGCTGGCCAGAATGTCAGCCAAGGCCAGGCTGCTGATAAAGAGGTAGGAAGGCTTTCTCCTGGTCCTGGGGGAGGAAAAGATCAAGTACAGCACCAAAGAGTTCTCAAAAATGCACAGTGTCCCAAAGAGGCCGCACAGTGTGGCAATGCTTATCTTCTGTGCTTGCGTGCTGAGGACCATGAAGCACTCCATGGTGTTCACACTGCATTTGGAGCTGTTTTCATGTATCTTACAAATATCCATTGTAATTAACTGCAGTCAGGAGCTTGCAGAGCACGTTTTTGCTTCCTTCTGCCCTTCTTCAGATGCTCTGAAATAGACCAAGGGGAAGGGGACTTACAGGAGCACAATGAACAATAAATTCAACCCACTCGGACACATCCCTCCCTTTAGAGGGAGGCACGCAAAAGAAAAAGAGCGCAGGGAGACCTACTTTCAGGTGCACAGCCCAAATGCTGGAACTGACTTCCAGCCTTTCCCAGCAGAGATCCAGGCTTTATCCCACCGGTGATTTGGCTGAGACCTGTCTATCACAGCCCGTGGGTACCCCGTCCATACCCCATCCATACCGCGTCCATATTACGTCCATCTCTTGGGCTGTTTTCTCACCACAAGAGGGAAGCAGCAGCGCTGAGAATTGTACAAATCCTGGTCCAGTTCTTACCAATCCTCCGGGATTCACTGCTCAGGCCTGCAGCGGTGGAAGGGTCTGCTCATGGTGACACTGTGCTGTGGCCAGGGACAGGCCCTGGAGAACAGCCTGTCCAAGTGAAGCTGCCCCAGGAGATGGCTGGGATGGAGAAGGACAAGGGATATTGCGTTGCCGGGGACTTGGTGTGCTGCGTCTGGGAACACAAAATGCACGTTGAAGCATTTACTCTTCACCAAAGCTGTTTGAACACATAAAATGACAAGACTGGTTTTATATTTAAGCTTGCCCATTGCAGTTTTAAAAAGCTCAGCTTTATTAAAGTTGCATTTCTCCCCCCATAATCCCTGTGTTGTGAGTCAGTCTGTCCCATGGTCAGAGTGATTAAAAGTTATTGTTTAACATCAATATGTTGTATATATCAATATAGAGTGCAGGTTGGGCATAAAAATGGGGACATGCAGGAGTTAGACCACCTGAACCTAAGAACCCCTGTCCATGCCCAGGATTAGGTTAATTTTAATCAGTGTTTTTAGCTTCAGCAGAGATATGATGGAGGGAAATGCCGTACTTTCCCCTAGGCAGATGTCGAACTGCTTGGTGCACTCTGTGGCAGCAAAGTCATGTTTTTCTCTACACTTCTGCAGCTTAATGCATTTAAATCCCTTCATCTTCATTACACAAATGACCTTGTCCTTCAGACATGATTTTTCTCCCATTCTTGCTCTTGATTATACTTGTGCTTTAAGCCAATTGCACTTTCATTGAGGGCTCGGTTGCCTTGTGTTGCCTCATGTAACAGGAGGAACAAGGTCATCCTGGACCAGGTTATAGAGAGCACATGAAGAGGCAGGTGCCGGATACACTAAAGCTGCCTTATTAGCAGAAAGATGCTGTGTCCTGAGTGCCACGCACAGGTCGTACCGCCCTGCTACAAAAGTCCGTGGGCCAGGAACCCCCTTCCCGAAAGCATCCGCCTGGCTTTGAGTATCCAGGATCCCACATCCAGGCAATGGGACCATCAGTTCCCGCTGATGGAGGAAAGCACTGAGCTGACAGCATTCCCTTTCCCCCAAAACAAACAAGCCACCATCTCTCCCTGCCCTCAGCTCTCTTTTGAAAAAGGAAATGTCCAAAACGTGCGAGCCACAGCAGACGGGTCGTGTGACAGCTACAGCTACCCAGGGAGCGGAGCGAGCGCCCAGGCGAGGTGCAGGGGACGGGCTGCTGCGCTGCTCCAGGCACCTGTAGCTGACCATCTGCGGTTTGTTTTTTGAAAATCGGCAAAGGCATCGGCTGTCTTTAGAGGCATCAATAGCCAGCAGTGACCAACATGCTAGAAACCTCTGTCTGCAACATCTTAGCAGTGGCACGTGTTTTATACTTGTCTTCATTACTTCCTTCCCCACTGATTCCACCATCCCCTGACAAAACACTATTTCTGTGTGTTGCAGTAGTTGCAAAATACCCCTGAGCACTTGAGATGCTGCCCAGGAGGTCACGGAGAAGAGCCCGAGCCCCACACTTCACTCCTGCCTGCCTGTCGGGGCTGAACACGGTTGGTTGCAGGGCGTTCGGTGCATATTACAGCCAGAGCAGTTCAACCCTGATTTGCATTTCTTGGCGTATCAGACTGGACTTTGGGCTAAAATGTGGCTCAGCATTGCAGCAAGCCTCTCTCCTCTTACATCAGGCTCTGGCATGGGGTAATCACCCAGGACCGGAGATGTTGCACTCTAATCTCAGCACTCTTGTTTCCTGCAGCTCTTTGCAGAAACACTACAAGCAGCAGTAGTTACTAACTGCTGTTGTTAAACCTGACGACATCTCTCCCTCCAGAGAGAGATGGATTTAGTGGACAGATGGACTTTGACATATCTCACAGCTCACCAGGGGCCACTGGGGCAGCAACTGCCTCCTCGAGTATCCAAAACTCCCCAGCCAAAAACCTAGCATCCAAACCAAGACATCTCTTAATTAAGCAGTCTCCAGCATCACCTTGACATCTCTTAATTGCAGCCAGCATTCCCAGGACCATCTTAAATTCTCAGTATCTGCAGCTGTGCAATGTCCAACTTAGGAGCTTGGAAACTGTACTGAACAGAGACTGAAGGCCAACAAAATGCTATCCCTCATGTTATGTTGCCTGGGGAGAGAATTTGGTTATAATGGCAAAATAATTCCTGCACTGGCTGTTCTGGTACAGCTCTCTCCATTAAGCTGACATAATTCAGATAAACCATTAGGTACAAAATACTGTGCTGGGCTCGTAGCAATCAGCCAGCCAGCCCAGACCTTCTCTTCCAATGTCTGTTGTGTCTCAGGTTGAATGACAAGGATGAATCCCTTTGCAGTTTTGACTAAGCTCCCCCAAATCCTCCTACCAGCTCCCATGCCTGTGATGGGAAGCACAGGGCTTTGCTCCAGCACAAGATCTCTTCTGCAGAGGCTCCAGAGCATGAAAACATGGGCAGTGCCAAGAGCTCCTCTCTTGCACTGCCCGTCCCTTTTTTTGGTTTTGGGGTTTTTTTTTCCCCCATAAGGCTGTTTTTTCCTGCCTGAGGGACATTTTTCTCGTCAGATGGGCTCCTGGATTCAACCATTTGTTTGTTCATGCCCACTGCCTCCTGCCTGCTTCAGCTCCTGGGAAACAAGCCAGCCCATATCTGGATCCCGAGGGAGAGCTGATCTGCGGCATCCTCCATGGGGCAAGTCCCACTTCCAGAGTGGAAACCCCCTTCCAAGGGGCAGCATCTCCAGCTCCCTGGGAATTCCAGCCCCGGGCATGGCTGTGCAGCCCCACCACAGCCAGCCCAACAAGCTCAGAGAGTCCCTGCCTGACGGGCTGGCATTTCAGCTCAGCAAGAAAGAGCGAAGGGGCTTCTCGCCCTCCTTCAGGGCCAGGGGCTGTGGCACAGAGGGACTGCTTCCCTGGAAGCCATGGGAGCCAAGTGGAGGTTTCCTGGGCCTCTGCACAGGATTAATTCTCCTCCCAGCACAGCAAAGTGTCTCCTGCCAGCAGGATCTCCCAGGGTGGGGAATATTCTGCCAAAATAAAGCAATGGAAATCCTATGTCTTGCAAAGAAGAACCCCCCCAGACAGTGCCAATAACAATAGTAGAACCCCAGGAGACAGCAAATGGAGGCAACACAGCGAATGAACAAGAAGCTCAGCTATTAGGAACAAAATGCGGATAAGACATTTGGGAATGCAATATATTTCTGCTATGTTGCCTCACAGCTTCACTGACTGCAAAGTCTGACCACAAGTAGCAGAGAAACCTTCCCCCTGTTAGATCTGCTTGTGAGCCCACTCACTCCAGCCTAAGAACTCTGCTGGCTTCGGTGGAAATTAAATCTACAAGTGGAAAAGTCCTTTTCCATTTCAGTGCATTGCTGCAATTGATTTCAGCTGTCAGACTTACACTGCCTCGCACGCAGCAGCACAGTTTCTGATACCACTTGGGATGGTTTCTGCATTTACAGAGATATCTCAGAATCCTTGTGATTAATAAGTTAACATTCCGGTTGCTTAGATAATGTAAAGTTAAATTTTCCTGCTGCAATCAGACAGTGCAAAGTGCCCGCAGCACTTTGAAAGTGCTGGCCTTGAATATTTATCTCTGAGAATTTCTGAGAGATTTGATCTTTACAATAAAATAAAATGTCTTAAGTGATCACCTGATATGAACATGTGAAGTGATTTATGCAAAAATTGTCATTAATGCTTGGACATACCAGTGGCTGAAAAAGCAAAATATCTTTTGTTTTACAAATATATCTTGGTTTAGTTGCAAGAGTTCTGCCGTTATTTTGCAAATAACTGTTCATCCCGCTTTGTCCCTCTGACCACATTAAATAACGCCGAGCCGAGTTACCTCCCTGATGTAAGAACCGCCTGGCACAAGTGCCATACTGAAGATTATATGCTTTATTTCTTCTCAGAGTCCACTTCGGTCCATGTGTGACTGCCTGGGGGGACAGCATTCGAAGCACAGGGGTGTGTGGGTGCACTGCGAATGCCAGTTTGGGTGCAAAGCATGGTGAAACAGAGCTTCTCTCCCTCCACCAAAACCACCCTGCGCGGAGTCATAATAAACGCTGGCTCGTGCAGAACGTTCAGCCTGAGAACTCAGTATCACACTCATCCTTGAGAGACATTTGGAAATACCTCTGACATATCCAATGTTAATATTCCCTAAAGCCAGCTGTGAAGAGTTAGTCCACAATCTGCTATTTAAACACTTACCTTTCGTGTTCTTGTTAAGAAAGCATTCATGCTAAAAAACAATTTTCCCACCCTTTGTTACACATTACGTTGCAGTTTATCCCGAATAACGCCGGGAATCTCCCCGTGACAAACCCAGCGCAGCGGAGTCTCCCCAGTCTGTGTGTGTTCAGCACCATGGGCTCAAAGGTACGACGTGTTTTCCTGTGAGAAAAAGGATCCTTGGCTGCAGCGATCGCAAACCCCTCACCTCCTCTCGCTCGCGGCACAGGCTGGGGATACTCGGGGGCTTCCCATCGCTCCGGCTCTCAGGGCAGTTTGTGCAGCTGCGGACGGCACCGGCTTCCCTCTCCTTTCACATCACTT